AATTCTAATATTTCATAATAGATAGCAAAGATATCTGTTTTCATACCAAACAGATTAGTACACTGTTACTTAATGCATTCATAAATGGAAGTTTCATAGTTCCTGCTTAGACAAATTTTAGTTCTGGGATGATGCCTTTGCTTTGTTTTTAATTTTCAACTCAAAGTTCCATATCAAAATTTTTTTTGCTAGTCTAGAAAGCACCATGAAATAAAATTTTGTCAGAAGATGTGGACTGATTGCAGCTATATTATGTACCAAACAATTAATCTATTATTTCCTGACTGGTCTTCAATGCATTGTCCTTCTTTGATTTGCTTTCTGCTGAAAAAGTTTTCTTACAAATAAAATATTCAAATTAATTTTTTCAAGCAACTTTAAGATATTATTTAATCTTAAAAAAAATTGTCACATCAGATGTTGCTTGAATGTTTCATTGGAAATCAATTGCTAAAGTTATACCATAGATCAGCAGTTTCCAAAGTGTGTGCCGCAGCTTCCTCACAGGGGCGCTACGAAATATTATAAAATTTTCATAATTTTACTTCCACTTTTAATTCAATGTGATAAGATGCGACATCTAGCAGACCTGATGCAATTAACTCAGTAATAAAGGTGGCACATAGAATCACAAAATGTAAAAAGCTTCATACCATCGCAGAAAAACTCATTCTACCGGCTGCTGTAGATATGGTGAACATTATGATCAGTGGGTCTGCTGGGTAGCAGCTTTCAGAAGTGCCTTTGTCCAATAACACTACCAATTGCAGAATACAGCACATAGCTAAGGACCTCCAATGTTCAGTTATTGAAAAAATGGAAGGGAAGGAATTTGGATTGTAGCTGGATGAGGGCACAGAAAATAATAATGATGCTCACTTGATTTACTATGTACGGTTTATAGATAATAATAACATTGTAGAAGACTTTCTCTTCTGTAAAAATATCACTGCTGGTACTAAGGCTCATGACTTGTTTGAGATCCTTGATATTTTTATTTCCGAAAATAATTTGGAGTGGACCAAATACATAAGTCAATTGAGAAAATTTCAGCTTTTATAAAAAAATTAAAACTATGGAAAAGAAAAATAAATGAAGATGGAGGATGTTTCCCTTGTTGCAACAGTGTTTGACTTCCAATGGAGTGGATTTCTCACGAGGTATGAACTCTATTTTTGAAGAACATTTATCACAGCTTATCACCTGGTTTGAGAAATATTTTCAAAATGATAATATGGATAAATTTGCATGGATTCAAGTTCTGTTTAATGCCAGTGCTCCATCTGAATTTACTGCAGCAGAAGAAGAGAATCTTATTGAGCTGTGACAATATGTTCAAAATAAAATTTAGCAGCATGGAATTTACTGAACCTTGGATATCAGTAAAAGATGAATATCCCTTCTGAGTGGTACAGCTCAGAGAATCTTAATTTCATTTGTGATTCCTAATTTGTGCAAAGCTGAGTTTGTCACTGTGATAAAAACTAAGCATTGCACAAAAATCAATGTGGAGAAGAAAATGAGGATGGCTGTGTCTAGTTTACTAGTTCTTCTCTATCATGTAAGGTTTTTCTACAAAACCATTTTTATTGGATAAATTGATTATCTCGTCAATCAGCGTTAAGGGGAATTAAATTAATAATGACACATTTCAGTAGCCGTAATTTGTTTCATTATGTTGTTAAAAACATATACCTACATTTTTAAAACAAAGAAATTGATTTAGAATTCCTGATTTAACCAAAATATATACATAATCAAACACTGCATCAGGTGTATGTTATTAGGTCAGCAGTCAGGTTATACCAAGTTTCCATGTTTCATTTNTAGTTTAGCCCACCAGCCGAGGCGGTTTCCCAGGGTGTGGCCGTTGGCATGCACTACCAACTACTTGGAGCCATAAATGAGAGTTGGGTCCTCATGGGGAACAGTCTACGGTGTCCACTCTTTCAGTGCGGCTGACACTTTCGAAAGTTACTACCCCTCTAAGAATCCCATACACCCCCAATCAGCGTTAAGGGGAATTAAATTAATAATGACACATTTCAGTAGCCGTAATTTGTTTCATTATGTTGTTAAAAACATATACCTACATTTTTAAAACAAAGAAATTGATTTAGAATTCCTGATTTAACCAAAATATATACATAATCAAACACTGCATCAGGTGTATGTTATTAGGTCAGCAGTCAGGTTATACCAAGTTTCCATGTTTCATTTGAATGAGACAATAGAGCCAGGAATTTGCATTGGGCCTATTGCATTGGACCAGGAAGCAATGGCCACCTAGAAAACAATTATTGATACAACTTGGCATAAAGAATATTGTGAGGAGCAGCTTGTGAACCCAAAGAAAGTACTGCTGCCACCCCTACATATTAAGCTGAAATTAATGAAACAGTTCATAAAGGCTTTACCAAAGGATGGAGACTGCTTTTTGTATTTATGCAAAAAGTTTCCAGCCTTGTCCAAAGAAAAACTAAAAGATGTATTTACAAGACCTGATATTAGGAAATTAATATCAGACAAAGAATATTCTGCAATGAACAACAATGAAAAGGATGCCTGGATTGCATTTAAGGCAATAGTTTCAGTTTCTAGAAAAAAAATAAAGATTCCGATTATAAAGAAATAATAGTAAACTTGTTAATTAAGTACCATGAACTGGGCTGCAATATGAGCCTCAAGGTACACTTTCTGAACTCGCACTTGGATTATTTTCCTGAAAATCTAGGGACTGTAAGTGAAGAACAGGGCAAAAGATTCCATCAAGACATTAAGGAGAAGGAAAGAAGATACCAGGAATGATGGGATGTCAGTATGATGGTGGATTACTGTTGGATGATGCATAGGGACATTCTTGATGCAGAACATAAGAGGTGGTCCATGAAACACAGTTTTAGGGGGGAAAAATCAGAACTGATAAGCATCAAAGCTAATTAGTGGCTTATGTTGTATTTTTGTATCCATATATGTTAATAATAATCTGAAATTCATAACTTTTCAGGATTAAAATATATTTAAACACTATTATAAATGTATATATAATATGCTTTTAGGAATTTTTGACAAAACTTTGTAAAGCCTTTGTATCAAAACATTATATGATGAAAACATTTGAGAATCACTTTTAGTTGTATCCATAGTTGTTAGTAAAAATCACATCTCAAAGTCCAAACAGTTTTTTTATTAGTTGAAATTTGTAGGCCTGTGTAATACAACAAGAAAGTCAACTAGTGCCAAATGTGATGCTCTAATATAGTATGCCAAAGAAATATGCTTCTTTAATTTAGTGAGTGTGAAGCATTCTTTTTCTGCCTATAAACTGATGTTTTTGACAAATTCAGTTGTTTTACTCTAGAAAATACAGTGATACCTCATACTTCAAATGACTCTTAACTTTGAATGCAAAATTCAACAAAAATTTGTTTCAGAGTTCACAATGTGCATGGAATGAAAACTGCACTGAAGTATAAAATAAGCTTTTGAAGAAAGAATATAACCTCAAATTAACAGTAATGTGTTAAAATTTACAATTGTTATAATTAAATCACACATCTAAGTTAAGTAACAACAACTGTTAAAAATATGCAAAAACTTTCTGTTCAACCCAATATAACCTTTACTTATTAATCATGGTATCCAAGAAGTGTGTGTATGCAACAAAGTCTAAGTAGGCTTTGAAAAAAGCATAAAGGCTTGAAAAAGCTAAGATGAAAAAAGAACCTATCACAAAGCATGAAAGCAGTATGGGTGTAGCGAATCTGGCGGCCATGTTTATGATGCCAAAGTGGATGGTGTACGATCAGCAAATGCAATTTTCATTTTATTATACAGTTTTTGCATATTTTATGTATTGCTTTCATGTTTTAATTTATTACTAGGACATTTAATTATATTATTTTTATCTTAAATTATGTGTATTTGTTGTTTTTAAGTTTTATCGAAATGGGTATTGTTAGCGTCTGGGAATAAATTAATTTGCTTTCTGTTACTTCTAATGGGAAAAATTGCTTTGAACTTCAAACAATTTTAAGTTCAAATGGCCTCTTGGAATAAACTGAATTTGAAGTATGAGGCACTACTGTATAGAAAAGTATTAGTAATTTAGTGTGAGGCAAATTATATTTTGAGGACTTGTACATTTTTGAAAGCAGCAGACTGTGTTTGCAATATCTGCATTGGGCAACATTTGTAGATGTTTATAGCCAATTTTATTTCATTTAATGTAATGTATAGTTACAATTATTGTTGCCAATTATATTTCTTTTGTAAAGACTTTTTGATAGAAAATTAATTACTTAATAAAAATTCTCCAATTGGATTAGATTATATTTTAAAGTATTTAAAAAGTAAAAATTAGTAAAACTTGACTAGTTATTTAAAAAAGTAACTAATCAAGAAAATATTCATAAATTTCTAAAGATCCAAGATTTCCCAATTTTCCAAGCAAATATGAAATTCCCTAAAAATTCAATATTTTTCTAAGTAAATTGCTATCCTAAAATTAACAGGAAATACAAATGTTTATTATTACATTTTCAAATATTCTAATGAAAAAGAAAAATAAGAAAGCAGCAAATTACTACTAAATAAAAATTTATTAACAACATTCAATCATTATTATTTTTCAATTTATTTATACTTACAGTACTTGTATTAATTTAAAATCATTTNACAGATGTTGAAAAAGAGAGAGAAACAGACCTGTGTAAAAAGTCTGTATCTGTATGAATGTGTGAAGAAAGTGTTCCTCCACCTCCTCCTCTGACTACCCGACATAATTGGTGACTGCTCCATTTTCATTTTTTTTTTATGGTACAGTACGGTTATTTTATGCTGCGAAACGAATTATATGTTTTAACATGTATTTCTATGGGAAAATGCATTTTGTATAACAGACATTTTGTATAACATTGTACTTAACAGACGTTCACCTGGAACGGATTAAGTATGTTATACGAGGCACCACTGTATATATATAAAAATTGCCTTATTTTAACAATAAATAATAAATACCTTCTTTTTAAAATCCTTATGAATTCTGTTATATGTTAAACTTATTCTGCTATAGGTTAAACTTTAAATGCTCTGGCAGTTTCCAATCCTAATTATAAAATAAAATTTAAAAATTATTGCAGAATGTTTAATTATTAATGTAACAATTATATATCCAACAGTACATATAAAACTTTAACATCAATATTAAAAATTAAGCAAAACAAATACAACAAAATCATCTAAAAAAAACCATTGCATTGCATTAATCATAAATTCAGGAAAAAACTTAATCTTGTTACTAATTAAAAAATAAAATTGTAATATATTTTTCTATTATAAATCAAAATTTCTCAAATTTCTCTCTCCAGACCAATGATAATCAAATACTCTTCTACAGAAAGTCAACAACTTGAAAAATTATTGTAGACTAGCGTGTCCCAATTTTTCCTTACAAATTGTCCATTAAATGACTTTTACCTAGTTAATGTTTTTCTTAATTGCTTCCTAAAAAAGTTTAAAAGAACATCACACTTTGAACTTAATTTTAAATATCATGAATAAATAATAACAAGGTTTTATTTATTTGATATTTGTGTACAGGGTGGATGGTAACTAAGAATTGAGAAATCCCTATAATTTCTATATGTATAATGCAGAGATAAAAATTATTTGACATGTTTAATATTTAACATTAATATTTAATAAAGGTAACTTATTAAATAGAAATATGAAAGCACATCTTAAAATTCAATGTAAGCATTGTCACCAGCCTTCTCAAATGACTAGATTGTGATATGGATGGACAGCCACTTCTCTGTGTCTGCAACCAAATACATGTAATCATTCAAAGTTAATGACCACATGGGTCATTAACTTTGAATGATAATTCTTGATTGTTTCCAGATGGATTCTGATATGATGTTCCTTCACCATAAGCTACCATCTCTACACAGCAACCACTAATTTCCACATCTCATAACATGCCATAATCAGTGCTCACTCCTGAACAAACAAGCTATCCACCATCTCTTTACTACTGTACATGTGGCCTCTCTCACTCACTGCCCAAACCACCAATGTAGGAATTATAAAATTCCATTGATCAATATCAATATACATACATACACAAATTTTATAATAATTGCATTATTATTACAAAAATTATAACAATTTCTCAATGTCTAGTTATTTCTCACCCACCTACATACAGTTGACCCCCCCTATAACACTGTTGNACAGTGATACCTCATACTTCAAATGACTCTTAACTTTGAATGCAAAATTCAACAAAAATTTGTTTCAGAGTTCACAATGTGCATGGAATGAAAACTGCACTGAAGTATAAAATAAGCTTTTGAAGAAAGAATATAACCTCAAATTAACAGTAATGTGTTAAAATTTACAATTGTTATAATTAAATCACACATCTAAGTTAAGTAACAACAACTGTTAAAAATATGCAAAAACTTTCTGTTCAACCCAATATAACCTTTACTTATTAATCATGGTATCCAAGAAGTGTGTGTATGCAACAAAGTCTAAGTAGGCTTTGAAAAAGCATAAAGGCTTGAAAAAGCTAAGATGAAAAAAGAACCTATCACAAAGCATGAAAGCAGTATGGGTGTAGCGAATCTGGCGGCCATGTTTATGATGCCAAAGTGGATGGTGTACGATCAGCAAATGCAATTTTCATTTTATTATACAGTTTTTGCATATTTTATGTATTGCTTTCATGTTTTAATTTATTACTAGGACATTTAATTATATTATTTTTATCTTAAATTATGTGTATTTGTTGTTTTTAAGTTTTATCGAAATGGGTATTGTTAGCGTCTGGGAATAAATTAATTTGCTTTCTGTTACTTCTAATGGGAAAAATTGCTTTGAACTTCAAACAATTTTAAGTTCAAATGGCCTCTTGGAATAAACTGAATTTGAAGTATGAGGCACTACTGTATAGAAAAGTATTAGTAATTTAGTGTGAGGCAAATTATATTTTGAGGACTTGTACATTTTTGAAAGCAGCAGACTGTGTTTGCAATATCTGCATTGGGCAACATTTGTAGATGTTTATAGCCAATTTTATTTCATTTAATGTAATGTATAGTTACAATTATTGTTGCCAATTATATTTCTTTTGTAAAGACTTTTTGATAGAAAATTAATTACTTAATAAAAATTCTCCAATTGGATTAGATTATATTTTAAAGTATTTAAAAAGTAAAAATTAGTAAAACTTGACTAGTTATTTAAAAAAGTAACTAATCAAGAAAATATTCATAAATTTCTAAAGATCCAAGATTTCCCAATTTTCCAAGCAAATATGAAATTCCCTAAAAATTCAATATTTTTCTAAGTAAATTGCTATCCTAAAATTAACAGGAAATACAAATGTTTATTATTACATTTTCAAATATTCTAATGAAAAAGAAAAATAAGAAAGCAGCAAATTACTACTAAATAAAAATTTATTAACAACATTCAATCATTATTATTTTTCAATTTATTTATACTTACAGTACTTGTATTAATTTAAAATCATTTTTATTAGTGTATATATATATATATATCATATTAGTATTATAAATCATTATATATAGTAATTCATTCTGCTCTAAAAGTTACATGCTCTTTTAAAGTATTACATACATTTCATAGGAAAATAGTTCAAAATAGTTATTCAAAATATTTATATAAATTTATAAAAAGCTAATTTATCATTAAATCATTAATAACCATAGTTTATATTTTTAGCAAAAAAGATAATATTTAAATATAACTGCCATTTGCAGGCATAATAATATCACTGAATAGGGTAATCTGACAATGCTAAATTTGATTTAACATGTATTTAGTTGTATAATAACTGCAAGTTTTAACTTGTAGATGGCAAAGATATTTTATTTATAACATATACAATGATTTGAGTTTGAAAAAGCATAAAAATTAATATAGCATTTTATTATAAATAATATAGAACTAACCATCATTAAAGTAAATTTATAAATAAAACTGGAAGTTTCATAATGATGATAAAATTAATCTATATATTTTTATGCATTTTCAATCTTTTTGTACCTTGGCCACCAGTCAAACTTGAATCTTGATTATCAGTCTGAATTTGTTTTTATATACTGCAAGCATCTTAACTTGGTTTTCTGTTTAAAATGAACAACAGGAATTCATTTTTCCATAAAACGTCCAATCTCGATATTCTGAACCATAATCCATATGTGCAAAATTAGTCTTTTCTGTTGCTTTTGAAGTCAGTGAGGTATTTTCTGTGAAATAATAAAGTTAAAATTGAAAATAAACTAAATTTTAAACATGCTATGAGTAAAATTTTTATATTTCTTGTTAATTCTTTTTAAATAGGTTTGCCATTTTTTTAAGTTATAAATAACATTAAACAAGAACAAATTATTTCACCATTAATATTTAAAAACTGATAAATTCAATTCATTTCAAGAGAAACAATTAATTAAAATGCAAAAACTAGGTTAAAAATAATTCAATTTTTATTATTTTCAGCCAATATTCCTGATCATTATCAAAAGTTAAAAAAAATGCAACACTATTTACAGTATAGCAGTACTTTTACATCTTTTATGTGTATTTTAATACCTAACTGACAAGAGAGAGAAAATAAAAATTAAGATATCAATTTACATAGATCTAATTTTGAAGAACAAAAAGGATTTGCTTAATCTTTATATATATATAATTGGTATATAAAAGATCAATTCTATATAATAATTTGTTAAACAACTTGAAATAAATTCATCACTTAAAAAATTAATTCATGAATCATCATTTTTTTTTATAAATGTAGAATATTACAATGGAATAAAAAGTCTGTTCCACAAACTTAATATATCTAATATTAAATTATCACTGATTTCCATTATCTAACAAAATAATTCAAAAATAATTGTTGTTATTAAATTTTTGCATTAAAAGAACTACAATACAGTTTTCTTGCAATTATTGAGCAGTAAATGACCAGCTATCAGTGAATGTCTATCATAGTCACTCATTTGAATTCTAAGTTAATATGTCAAATTATAGCCAAATATAGACAATTATAGCTCATGTCAGTGAATGAACAAGAATAATGGATGACATTTTGTATCAATAAATGACTGTTTATAGCTTTCTACCAGTGGTTAATCATATGATCACTTACTGGGTTTTTTGCCTACATAATATCATGCTTAATTTTCAGACACTCAGCTATTTTTAGATTGCACCATCTTTCCATAAAACAATGTACTTCAAGCATACATGTAAACTACATCTCATTAATTTAATAAGGAAAAGATAGTAGCCAAACAAAATGATCCTGAACTGCATGCATCTTCACCTTAAATGGTCATTCACTGGTCTAGTCACTCTACTGGTATCTTAAATTGTGTTTTAATTTATTAATTAATTCATAAAATTAATCTCTTAAAATAAGTAAATAGAATATTCATATATCAAATGCCTTTTGTTTGTATTTTAGATAATCAATTAAAGATTTGGTTCAAATACTTTGGTTAATATGGAAGGTCTGTATTAGTAGGTTATAATACTGAAATGTTAAAAGAGTGTTGGATTAGTGGTCTGTATTGGTAGGTTAAATTGAAAAAATATGAAAGGAGATCAAAAGAATAATGGAATGAATAGTGATAGTGGCAGAGAATTAAAACCAGCTGAGGACAACAATGTTTTTGTTGTCAAAATGTATACTGATCTTTTACTTGTTGTTAAGTTTAATTGCTGAATAAACATAGGCTAGTACAGTAGACCCCCCCCTATAATTACGGTTCATATAATTACGATTCCTATACAACTGCAAAAAAATTGCGACGGTATCCGTAAAAAACAGTAAAAAACTCCTATAATTATGTAAAATGTCATCGGGCAGCCAAACTACTTTCCTGCCGTCCATAGCGCCACGCTACAGACATTTAGGCAGGTAAATTGAGTTTAGTTTCGTCTGTACATATAATTATATATAAATTATATATAAATTAGGTACTGTATATATAATTATATATTAACTTAATTTATTGTAACTTTATTATAATTATATATATATTTTCCGCCGCCTGGCGCCACGCTACGGAGAGTTTAGGCGAACTATCGTCTGTACAGTATTTAAATTAGGTACCGTAAGTCTAATACAGTACTGTAATTTTATACATTTCTTGTGAAAGAAACATTTCTTATTCAACGGCGATTAAAATTATTTATATTAATGATGTCTCCAAAGTTCAACGAAGTTTTCGCAGAAAAATAACATCAGAAATCGCGGCCGCCGTTTGGTGCGCTGCTCCGCGACGAAAACAAGCTTAAGCAATGGCGACGTCGAACGGTGCACACTCGGTAAGTAATCCTACAATTTTTTGTTTATAGCGTAGTTTATACGGATTATTTCCAAAAAAAATATACGTATTTTGGAAATGTTGAGTCGGATTAGTCTAGAATCGATTAATTTTATGGAAGAAAACCTTTCAATCAGTCGTAGTCTGTAAACTTCACACATGTCAGGCTGTGATTGGTAGGACTCGTAAGAAATTGGATTCCTAAAGAATGGAACGTATCTATGATCTTATAGGGGGGGGTCGACTGTACAGTATATTATAAGTCTGTTGTTGGTTATGTTTGAAACTTTTGTTTAATTTATTAGTAAATAGAAACTTTGTAACTAAAAAATGGTTAGATACCACCACCCAATTTTCTATCAAATTTAAATTATATAAAATTAAAATAAGCTAGTCAATCAAGAAAAAGATGAGTTTTGAAAAATAAAAATAATAGTAATTCTTTGTCACGTGGCTTACTATGTTTCTTTAAAATTTTTAAGACAAGGCCTATTTGAAAAAATTATGATGATTTAATGTAGATAACTAGTGGAATATCTATGTTTAAAAGACAATTTGAAATGGGTATACGTTATATGCTGATTTTAAATTGTACTTACAAACTGGTCAAACAGCTTTTCCTTTGTGTACCTCAGACCTATTCATTTGCTACTGCAATTTTCACAAAACCGAAAAAAAAACACACACACACACAAACAAACAAACACACGTTTAGTTCTCTATAATTCATTTTCTGTAAATTTAATCCATAGCCTATTACATTACTACTAGATATTCCTATTTGAATTTGTATCTTGAAAGCTGTTAAATTCTCAATAATTATCTCCTATCTATATAATGATGTCACTTCAAAACACTGACAGTTAAGACATGTGATGCCATTATAATAAACTATAAACTCCTTGTTCTTTTCATCATTAAAAAGTAAATTTCGATGACTAAAAATAATTATATATATGTACTGTACATGTACTGTACAGTACATTTAAAACAATAGTCCTAGCTTGATTTTGCAATATTTCATTTCGTTTACATAACCACAGCATTATTTTATTGCCATTTTGTTAACGAAACTAAAATGATTCATTGCCATTTTGCTTCATTTTTAAACTCTACAGTGCATAGGTTTATTTTATGTTAATTAAGTGACATTTGTATAAAATTTAAAATGTGATTTAATATTTTTGAGTTAAAACACAACAGTAAAATAAATTTCCATAATATTTTCTGAACAGTACTTGGATGAACAAAACAGAATTTCTGTATTCTATTGGATGGTCTGAATGTTACACTCAAAGTCTACCATATAAAGAAGCATATCTTTTGAACAAGTTAGTTACCAAGAGAGACAACTTCTTTTATTAATTGCTTCATTTGCATTTTAATTATCAAATGATATTATTAATATAATGATAACTATTAAAACAAACTCAAAGAATTCAAATTAAAAATAATTTTAATATTTTAAATTTAAGATTAGTTCATATAGAAAGTGAATCACTAGTGAACAGCAGAAAAAGAAATTAATAGTGTATAAACAAAGTGGCTACAAATAATATACTTTCCAAGTATATTCTTATAATTATTAGAATTAATTTTGAATTTTTTCTTTCAACAAATAAACAGATGAAGTAAATATTTTAAAAAATTTATCATTATCAGCTGCCCTTTTGTTTTGATTACATTTTCTATAGCTCACATGACTGGTCATTTCACATTCTTCCATGTTTTGCAAAATAAGTGAAAATCAAATTCACTGTGAATATTTAATTATATATATTAATAATAATAAATATTTAATAAAAAAATTAAATTATTTTTTTCATTCTGCTTTCACTAATATATGTGAACTAAGCTTAGAGTTCTCTATAGCAAATAATTGCAAGTGATTGACTTTCAAATTTATTATAGAAGATAATTTTAATGTGGATATCCTTCCTATTTTATTTTTTCTGAGTTTATTTTAGCATTTATTATTATTACATAAGTAAAACAAATGAAGCAAGATAAAAACTTTTGCCATTCAATAGGTACAGTACTTGTACCTTCTACATATGAAGTTTCAAACATTGCTCTCAGTATTCCATTTGTTCATTTGATTTATTTTATAATTATAACTAAATGAAGTAAAATTAAAAAAAAAAAACATGTTATAATGTTTCAGATGGTACAGTCTAATCACACTATTTGCATTTTTCACCGGATGCTCGCACTGTGGTGTTTGAAAACAAAACTATTTTATCTGGGTCGTTTGAATCATTCTTGTGTATTGTCTACAATAAAGATGAATAGCAATGGAAAAAGCAAAGCTTTTTGTTTCATTCCAAATTGCGTAACAATTTCAAGGCCATATGAGAGCCAATATAAATTTTTGTCTATTACCACATGAAAAACAGATGATTATTCGGAAATCAGAATTCACAGCAGCTCATAAATAAAACCGACAGGAAGAGTGGATTCGTCTGTTAAGAACTGGCATAAAAGTTTCCAGATTGTCCAGCTTTATATGAACAAGTTATGCTGTCAATTTTAAAGGATTTTTCCTTAAAGTTTAAAATGCCAGTAATTTTGTGAGAAACATAGGGCTAGATTTAAGCATTTCAAGGTCCCTTACCAATCCTTCACATTTTAGAAGTCAATCATAAAAAGAAAAGAATTCACATAAACATATTAACTATTTTATATTTTGTGTAGTATTTAAAGTACATTTTGTTGGTTTGACTTCAATTTTCTTTTTTGTAGAAATTTTTGAGGCCCCTTGAAACTTGACCTTGATGGGACAATGTCAAAGCTAATGTTTTTAACACAAAGAACACAAATGTATAGAACAATCTCATTCATTTGTTTCTATGACACATACATGTAATGATGTGTCCTGCTACCAATAATTGTTCTATAAAATTTCTCGATAA